ATATCAGCAAAACAAAATCAAACATTTGAAAATCTCCATTAATGCAGTCAGTACTTCGTTGGGAATCCTTTTGCCTGGATTACTGCATCAATGCGGCGTGGCATGGAGGCAATCAACCTGTGGCATTGCTGAGGTGTTATGGATGCCCAGGATGCTTCAATAGCGGCCTTTAGCTCAATTGCACTGTTGGGTCTGGTGTCTTTCAGCTTCTTCTTCACAATACTCCACAAATTCTTAATGGGGTTTAGGTCAGGGGAATTGGCAGGCCAATCGAGGACAGTAATGCCATGGTCAGTACACCAGTTACTGGTGCTTTTGGCACTGTGGGCAGGTGCCAGATCATGCTGGAAAATGAAATCATCATCGCCATAGAGCTTTTCAGCAGACGGAAGCATGTAGTGCTCTAAAATCTCTTGGTACACAGCAGCATTTACTCTGGACTTGATGAAACACAGTGGACCAACACCAGCAGCTGACATGGCTCCCCAAACCATCGCAGACTGTGGGAACTTAACACTGGATTTCAAGCAACTTGGATTTTGCTCCTCTCCAGCCTTTCTCCAGACTCTGGCGCCTTGACTTCCAAATGAAATGCAAAACTTGCTTTCGTCTGAAAAGAGGACTTTGGACCACTCTGCAACTGTCCAGTGCTTCTTTTCGATAGCCCAAGTCAGACGCTTCTTCCGTTGTTTTGAGTTCAGAAGTGGCTTGACCATGGGAATACGGCTATTGTAGCCCAATTCCCGGACACGTCTGTGAACAGTGGCTTTTGATACCTGCACTCCAGCTTCAGCCCACTGTCTTTGAAGCTCCCCCAAATTGTGAAAGCGGCTCTTCTTCACAATGCCATTAAGGCTGCGGTCATCTCTCTTGGTTGTGCAGCGTTTCCTGCCACATTTCCCCCTTCCAACAGACTTTTTATGAATGTGCTTTGAAACTGCACTCTGTGAACAGCCTGCTTTTTGACAAATTTCTTTTTGTGTCTTACCCTCCTGATGGAGGGTGTCAATGATGGTCCTCTGGACAGCAGTCAGATCAGTAGTCTTCCCCATACTTGTGATTTAGTTTACTGAACCAAGCTGAGTGTTTTTAAAGGCTCAGGAAACCCTTGCAGGTGTTTTGAGTTAATTAGACGACTCAAGTGATTGGTTGACTAGCCCACTGGTATACTTTTTGGTGATATTCTAATTTTTTGAGATAGGATTTTTGAGTTTTCTCAAGCTCTAAGCCATAATCAGCAATATTAAAATAATAAAAGGCTTGCAATATTTCAGTTGATTTGTAATGAATCCAGGATGTATGGCATTTTTGTTTTTTTAATTGCATTAAAGAAAATAATGAACTTTATCACAATATTCTAATTTTCTGAGACAGTCCTGTATATACTGTATATATGTATATATGTATATATATACAGTATATATATTTATATTATGTATATAGGCTATATAGGCTATACATAAACATATTTTTGTGGATTGTATAGTATAATGTATTTTTATACATGAACATATTTTTGTGGATTGTATAGTATATTATTATGATAAAATATATTAACAATTTATATTTATTAATATACATTGTCTTTTTAAATTATATAATTAGTGTTAGTTTTTATTGTGCACTACAATGCAATTTTCAATTGCTTCTCTCTATATTCATATTTAATATTCAGTTATTTTAAGGGAAGGTTCAATAGCATCACATTGGCTGTTCTTTCTGTGGTTTCAATGCTGTTTTTTTTTCCCACGGTAAATAAGTGATAGTGCTAAATAATCCTGATTTCAGCATTAACCAGAATCATCTTGGTTAAGATTTTTTTGGGGGGATGATCCAGACGCCCTGCTCCCTGAGGAACCGTAAGCACCATGCTCTCATGCACACTCAGATTCACTGCCTCTACTCACCCATGGCAAAGAAAGGGATTCCCAGCAGGGTAGAGTTAAACTTCCCATCTGATATAAAGAAAATCCCTGCAGCTGTCACGTTGGCGATACAAATCGTCAGCACACCAAGGAGGCCGAGGAACGGCTTCCCCCTAAGACAGTCCCGCATGGAGCTGGAGATGGTGGCAGCCAAGAGCACCAACACCAGACTGACCAGCACCTCCCCCTTGGCCAGCACGCCTGTCTGGTGAAAGTCCCGCCACAGGCTGAAGGACGTAAGAGACTGAATGTGAAGCTGATCAGTTGCGTGCGGAGCTTCGGCCTTGGACAGCCGGCTGGCCAGGGCGCAAAACTCGTTCTCCCAGCGCTCAGCGATGGCGTCCTGCACCACGGGCCCATGGTTACGGAGGTAGTAGGTGATCTGAACTGCACGGGCAAACTTGACCTGCTGATCCCGATTGTTGGGTGAATAGGAAACTCCGCCCAGCTGGTGGCCTATGAAGGACACACGGCCGTCCTGTGAGGGAACCAGAGACGGCTGTTGTTAGGTGTGATTCGCCGACATTTGAAAAAATACATGATTCAGCTTTGGGTTCGTAATACATGTTGGATGGATGGATGGATGGAAGGATGGATGGATGGATGGATGGATGA